TCTAAGTCGTTGTATCCAAACATCTCCCACTAAAAATATATATTCTAGGAAGTTTAAAGCTTCATTGTTTAAATTTTTCTAATATTAGAATATTAAAATTTATATGTTTATTTAAATGCTTGTTTGAAAGGACTTGCACTCATTTGGTATGGTATCTAGTTGTATTTGTTACAGATATGCTTGAACATCCTTGTCTTGTAAACAAATTTAATGTATTTAAACTGAAAATTTCTCTTGAAAGTTCCATAAAATTGAAAGAAAAACTTTTCATCGAAAAGTTCCCCGTGAGAGAAGGAGTTTAAGACTGTAACGTATTTGCGTTGCTACACTACCAACATAATTCCACTAAAAATTATAAAGAAACCTCACGCACAAAATATCCTGAAGATGCACACGGTTAAAAATGTTTTTCAGTTATTCTGTAAGTTTGACTAATAAAGTTGGTTGTTCGATAAAAAATGGCGCGATTTCTTTAATACTTCATTACAGTACATATATATACGTATATGGGGTGTGTATACAAATATACGTATATGTGGGTCTGTTACTCGGCTCAGTGAGCTGTTTTTCCCCCTTTTCTTATATGTTTCTAAATTACGCATTTTTTGCTTTGAAAATGATTGACTTGTGTTGTTCTTTATCTTCCGGTTAAGATTTTTATGCCTTTAGTTAATCTGCATGCAATAGTTGTAGAATTATCAACAAAAGTTGTTTAAGTGCGGCTAATCCTAACTTTTCTTACCACAGCAGCCACATTTGTTTCCATTTGAGCAGACTAGTGAATTAAATCTCTTTGCATCTTAAGTGTCTTTTTGCCGAGTAGGACCAAAATGAAACTTTGTTTTGTGCACCGTGTGAAATATCTGCCTTTTCGCCTGCTGGTCGAATTGCTCGTTTTTGCATAGAAACTGTAATTTTAGTTGTAAAAATTACTTTTTTAACTGTTTCTCTATCTTTAAATTTTTTTAAAGAAGCTATTTTGAGTTTTTTTTACCATTTGACACCATTTAGCCGTGTTATCGGAGACAACGTTCTCCAAGATACACCACACAGGACGAAAAAATTACATCCGCAAGACAGGCTTGTTCCATTTTTGCTGCAGTTCTTGGGAATTCACCCGGAAGGTCTGGGAATTTTTTTCGAAAGCACTGGGAATTTATCCGAAAGTCTCTCATCCAATCCTTCTCTACCACCGATCTTTCGAGAGTATTATTGGCTCGATAAGTGCCCCTGTACCACAAAGATCTTATACACTTACAAACATCCATGCCTTCTCTGGGATTCGACCTACTAATTAAACTTTAAAACAGCGCTTTCAAACGATCTTTAAAATCTGAACTCCTTCAGATTTTCTCTTTTTTTTTTTTTTTTTATAATAAAATTGCCTCATATTTTTCACAAAATGTAATAGTTTATTAACTTTTTAGCTGTCCATATCATATTCCAATCTTCTCCCGAATTTTGATTTTTATTTGGGGAGCCTTAAAAGTTTCGCAAGCAATCCCAGGCGACTTGGCGATATTTTTGGCTAATTCAGAATCAACGAAATTTTAGAGACCACTAGTATACAGCTTATTAGTCAATACATGTGTAACGTATAATACTTATATTTTGCGTACTTTAGAACTTAACAATAAAATATGGTACATTTTATTCCATTAATAATTACTCATTGTTTACATTTCATAATCCCATCTCGATAATGTGCGACGTAGGCTGAAGAAAACTATTAAAAAAGCAATGCATCCTAAGTTTGATATTAAAAGCAATGAATCATTTTTGATAATACAAAAAACAACCACAAGATAAAAATATGAAAACATTTTATTACTTTTAAATTATATTTCCATAAATAAATGAACATTTCACGTGAATAATGAATGTCATAAAAGCACGGAAGATAAAAGAACATGTAAACTCCGAATATTTATGAACAATAATGTATACAAGGATGAGACACTCATATTCACAACATTTGCATAAAAACATCTGGTTTTGATTTTATGCTAAATACAGATATTGCTTGGCTTTAGGGCTGCTTCGTCATTCATGAGCTCATATGCATAAAACGTGTCATATTTGGAAAGAAAATTATGGACATTAGTTATGAATTTCAGTCAAGGTTATGCTGTTCTTTTGTAACGAAAATGCAACGCCAACGGCGACATTTTTGGCTAATATTCAGAATCAACAAATGCAATACTCGATATATATAAAAGTGGAATTTGATTTAAATCTGGAAATCATTCCGTAATTTGAAATGACTAAATAGTTTTATAATAAATTAAAATTAAGTATTAGAAATTAATGTATTCAATATACGATTACATTAAATATATAATATTTCTAGTTCGTGAATGAAGTGGAATTCAAATACGATCAGCTTTTGAATAATCAACTCATTAATCAAATTTGATAGAAAACTAATACTTTTACATTTAATATTTTTATGTATTCATATATTTAAATTATTCAAAAAATTAATTCTAGATATTGTTCCAATACTGAAATTGAACACATAGAAGAAAGTGTTACTTTTTTTAATTGAATGCATTAAAAAAGTCAGATTAAACACAATTTTTGAATTTTTCATTCCACATTTTAAAAATACATATTCAGGATGAACAAAAAAACGTTAACAAAGAGACACACGTGAGTTTTTATACGAGTTTTTAACATAAATAGTACAATAGCTGCCCTGACCATAATAAAGACATTTTTTGATTTCTGCAGAAGGCCTACAGTATTCAAACAAAATACTGAAAAAAAAAAAAAAAAAAAAAAAAAAAAAAAAAAAAACATACACATTTACATTACAACAATACACATTTTCCAAAGGAATGGTAGACAAACACAACCGTTCAGTTACTTTACTTCTTGGCTCCCTTAAAATGGATATTTTACAAAAAAATTAGTTTTACATAAAATAAAACATTGCACGAAACATAATATGCATGTCAAATACCCATAATCCTCAACATATCTCGCGAAGCCTTCAACTGAACACAAAATAAAATAGTAATAGTAAAAATAATATAATAATTATATAATAACCTTCTCTTTTATACAAATTATTTGCATAGAAAATAATGCCACATAATACAGAACAGAGAAGGTATCATTTGTACACAAAACACAATTATGGCAAATTAAGTACAGATTTGGCAAATGACAAAAACAGTTTGTAACTAGGTCGTTACTTTGTAGGGAAAACAGGCATTAATTTCATATGTTACACTAGATTTCTGATGAGCATTAGTTCCATTTTCCCTCAAAGGCTTTTAAGTATTCCTACCTAAGTTGCAAAAAAAAAAAAAGGTCCTATTAGAAAAAAAAAAAAAAAAAAAATTCCTACTCAATTTGCTTCAACCAAAATTTAGCTTGAAAATACTGCTGTGTGAATAACTTTACTCTCAAGGAAAATGATAATATTAATAATTCAATGACATAAATCTTTTTGATGATTTATACATGTATTTTATTAATACTGTAGTACTTGGAAAGGTATAGAAATTCATTCTTGCCGTTCATAAGAGCAAAACTTGAAATACGAGGCAAATCAGTTAAAGTTTTAAATGCAGAAATTCAAGAAAATGTTAAAGACGTTCTTAAAATAAATATCCTAACCCTTTGAGACGATTGTTGCATTTTGTAACACTAAATGTAACAGTTTCAGGTGATATATTTTTAATGAATTTTAAAACAAAGTGCTATGAAAAATAGTTGAAAATGATATAAATGCGCATTTAACAGAGACGAAGCAATAGGTTCTGTCTTTACTGAAAAGGCAAGCAATGGCCCAGTTTATGAAGAAACATACTGAAATTTTATGCGTTACTGAAAATAAAGGAATATATGTGCTTCTCAGAAAAAAACGAGACAAAAATATGCAGTACAGAAATGATAATTATAGATAAAATGCCAAAATACTGTAAAATTTCGACGAACGATGTCTCGAGAAACCAACAAGTAAGGCGGTAACAAATGATACTCCAAAATGCAGATAATGCAGTGGAGGAAATGTCTTCGAAAGAAGACGGAAAGGCAGATCTTCCTAGTTATTTGATTTTCGAAAAGGGTGCAAAGTAGGGTAAGAATCATTATCATCCTGATAAAGCAGTAGTAAGCCGTAGCATAAATATTTACAATGATAATGCTATATTTTGCTTTAGGAACATTTTAAAACACAGGCAGAAACAAATCATAAAAGACAAATTTTCTAATGGGACAGTGATTTAGTGATTCTTAAGTACAGGCGAGTGATGTAAAAGGAAAAAAGAAAATCCCCAGGAAGACAGTAGCTATCTGGGATTTCTCTTCCAAAACAGTATATTGTACCGTTGGTTTGTTAATTGTCTTCTACTTAGGCCGTCAACTTTCCTTCCTAGACATCAGGTAAAATTTAATTTAAGTTTTATATGTTTGGTATTGTACTTAATATTGTGCATATGTTGATAATGCATTATATGTTAGATCCAATGAATTCCATTGTTTTTTTGCATTGCAAACGTAGTTAGAAAATACTCTTTTATAAACCACCTTTCAGATAAGGGAACGAATTAATTCATTTTGCATTAATTCCTATGGAAAAAACTACTTCGGGTTATGAATATTTAAGATAAAGCACTGTCTTCAGGAACGACATAGGTTCGTGAATGAAGGTTTCTGTGTATTTATGAAATCAAATACGCCAGCTCTAATTAATAAATTAGAACGGCCAGTCACAAAAGCAAATAATATAAAGTAAATTTATGTATTTAACATACCAAATGATTAAATTGTACAGAAATAGCAGAAGTAAAAAAAGTATTTGGATATTTAATTACCACGATTTCAAGAAAAAGATTTTTTTGGGAGGGCGGAAGAAGCAAAAGCGTTATTTGAATAAAAGTGCTGAGGTGAATGAGGTAATAGAAAAGAAAAATATGCTGAACATTTTTAGATGAAACATATTATTCTTCTCAAAGCAAAATAATAATCAAAATTACGGCATCTTAAAAGAAAGTTTAGCCATTTTTCAACAAATAATGCCTGAAAAACTGAGAATTGAAGCAAGGTTACACTCTTAGTACGTTTCTGAAGAAGGAATGCGATTAGAATAAAAATTACAAAATAATAGCAGCTATATTTATATAAAAAACAGTTCTGAATAATCTCCACCTTAAATGTAGACAAGTGAAATACAGTTGTAATATACTGAATATGCAACGGTATTAGCAGATACAGTCACATGCAGAAGTCTCAATGCATTAACAGGCTGCATATTTTCAAATTTTAGATCATAAGAAAGTAAAGAAATTTATTAATAGAAAAAATATCTGAACACAGAAATACCAGTGAATCTCATAAAAAACCAAAGCAATATTAATCATTTTTATCTGTTTAGAATAATATATTTTTTTTTTCAGTATGCAAAACTTTGTTTTCATTAAACTTAGATATCGCTAATTTTTATTATGATGATTTGTTACCTTTTCCCTCTGCAACAAATTCATTAATACTGCTTTTTTTGTGTGATCTAAATATAATCCAAAATTCTGCGAGAAAGATAAATACATTTAATTAGATATTTGCAAATTATTTCAAGTTTTGCTTTTTAGATTTAGAATATGTTAATTTTTGATTGACCATCAGTCAAATTGTAATATATTTACGTTTTTCTAACATTCTAATACTCGTAACCAGAAATACAAATCTTCTTACCCTATAATTACCCAATCCATTCTGTTGTGGCAGACTGGATTAGCAGTAAGAGTATTCAAATTATCCAACAGCAAAATCTCATTACACATGCGAATTCAACTTTAAAAAAAGGCTCAATTCTGATTTGCATAATACTGAACAGTTTATTCATTAAAAATGGAAGACTGGTTGGTTGATTTAAGTACCCGTAAATTTGTTGGATGACTTGCTGTGTAACGTAGCAATTTATTTAAGTAATACATGCAGAAAACAAGTCCAGCTGTCATCCTTTATGTACGAAATATTCAAATATATTATTTTTTTGACTTTATGGTATAAATTACGATATTTAAAGTAGTTTGGCACCTAAATCAATGGTGCAATTTAAAATAAAATTCCAAAGGATTTTTATGATTTGAAGGATAAAAATACAAATTTGTGTCAAAGCAATAGATGAAAAAATATGACTTCTTTTGGGATGTGGACTACCATCATCATAATTTATACAAGCTGTCAAATATTCTACTCGCAGCTGAACTGCAAATAACTTCTATGCATAGTTTCTGAATTCTTAATTACATACACAATTCAAAGCTTCTAAATCCACTTCTTGGGCAGATTATCCTGATATGAAGAAACTCCTAAATTATGACACATTCAAAATTCTAAGGAGTTAAAGGACGGATTTTTCTCTTTCAAAATGAATTTTGGAAGGGTTATTCATTAACAATAAAATTTCTCTCAATCTTCTTGAGCACCTCGAAATGAAAGTATTTTGAGTACAGATATATCGTCTGAGCAGTATGGATCCGCGTCCGCTAAAAATGATTGAGCAAAGATTCGAAAACTGCCTTTAATAAATCTCTTTTTTTTTTTCCACCATAGAAAACTTTGTGGTCTTTGTTCTTGTAAAATATATAGTCATAAAATGAAAGTTTGGCATCCACAAAGGTAAAAAACAGCAACGAGAAGATTCGTGCTCCTTTCCGTCGTAAAATAAAAACATGTCCTCAGGAGAAGAATCACAAGTGATTCTTGGAATGATGCGTAAAAGATGAGTTGAGCAGTCAGCATGCTGAGTACCAAACGAAATCTCTTAAGAAAGTAGATGTCAGCCACTGGCCTACGACTAAGAATCCATTTAAAGGCAGTCCAGGCAGCCAGAGGATGTACTTTAAAAGATTTTTTTTTCTTGAGCAATTAAAGAAAGCCACGTATTCTGAATCTGACGAATAGACGAAAATACGAAAATATGGCAGACTAGCCAAATTGGCAGTTCATTTCTGGTCTTCCTTTTTGGCTTCAATAACGAGACTACTTACATCAGCTGCAGAAACTGCAGCCTGTTGATAATTGGCTAGTTGTTTGTCGAGGTACTTGATGGATTCGTTTATATAGTTTTGGGCAGCAGACAGAGCAGACACAATAGCATGGGAGCCGAATCCATGAGTGATGAGAGAGAAATGAGTTAGATGGCGCTGTATAGAGGCAGGAAGAATCGGATTGAGCTTCGTGTTGCAGATTGGAGAACGGTCCTGAGCAAGGAATTCTGCAAATTCTTTGATGATTTCCCTGGAAAAAAGAATAAACTATTATTTTTTTTTTCACTTTGAAATAATTAAATAATATTAATAAAAGTTTTTCTTGTATTTTTGTACGGTAAAATAATTAAAATTTCTTAAATTTAAACCATATATTAATCGTCAATAAATTTAATTTCATAACTCTGATAATCTTATTCAGTTTTACAATTTTAAGCGGTTTTCTATAGAAATTTTCTGCTAAATGTTTCAGCCCTTAAGTTTCTTTGAGAAGTTTTTCTAAAAGAGAAGGCTTTAATAACTTCTAATAACAGAAGTTTCTTCCTTTTAGTTTGAATTCTTTGGTGATTTCAGCACTGCTTTTTTTGCTATTGATTTTTAAGAGGTTTCATTCATTAAAAGTTTCAGAAAAAAAAAAAATTTGGGCTTAGAGCGGTATTTAAAAAAATTTTGACCTTTTAAAATTAATTCGGTGACCTCCGAATGAACTTCATTACTTTAAAAATTTCAATCTAGTATGATTTTTAATTTGTTTTGATTATTTATCTTGACATGTTAGTTACCAGTTCATTTAAATTTTTTCATTCTTTTCCCAAATCTTCATAATTTTATTTCCTTTATTTACTATTAATCATCATTCCATTCGTTACCCTTTAAATTTTTATCTAGAAAGAGACTTAAACAATACTGAATTGCATTTAAATTTGAATTTTGCATTCTTGCTTACTTTTCATGAGTCTGTTTCACTCCAGGTACAGACAAAGAACTACTGCAAAACTTGCAAGAAAAAGCGTTATGAAAGTTTCTCTAAGAGGAAGGATATGTAAGCGAATAGTTAACATTAATGCATAGTTTAGGGACTGATATAAATCGACGTTCAGCACATTCTCAAAACAACTTAGAATGGAATCGTTTTATCTAAAAATATTTATGCAACTGAAGCATATACTTTCATTATTAATACATCATTTAAATGGTATTGATGGCAACAGAGAACATGCATTCTAAAAAAGGAAGCTATTTGCAATTTTATTAAAACACTGTAGAATTTCTTTTTAAACTACTAAACTGTCTTATTCCATTCATATCCCACAACATTTCATTTTAGAAAGCATTAATTTCAATTAACTTATTCTCAATCTCAAGAAAATGCAATTAATATATTAATGTTAAATCAAGATGTTAGATTAGCAGTTCAATAATCAATGAAGGCAAAATATTGCGAATATATCTGAATTGCAGGGCTTAGTTTCTTTTTTCAGTACTTGAAATATCTGATTAATACTTTTCAACTGTGTAAAAATTGCTGTTTTGTTTTTACTATGCGTCAAAGTACGCATTTTAATGCCATGAACGGTATAAAAACATTTGAGATGCCAACGCAGAAATGATGAAATCACTTAATAACGTGAACGAAAAGATTTAATAACCAACGCAAGAGCGGCGAGTCTGGAAAAAATTCCAATCTCGAAAACTCGATAGACGAGAACCAATCAAAGCCTATTAGGTCATCAAAACAATTAGCGGCAAATGAAAAAAAGAACTTCATCAAAACATAGAAGGCCCAATTACAGAAGAATTTTTACTTGAGCTTTTAATATGTGTTTGACAAGATCGTCGCTAGATGGCGGCAGTTTCAACGTCATTGACCGTGACCCGGAACCTTCTCACAGTCACGTGGTTCTCGGAACGTCAATGCTTATTTATTTCTTTTTACCCTCTGGGGTTCAAATAAAGTGGAATAAAAAAAATTGCTCCGCAGATCGGCACATTTTTGTTGAGCGCATTCGTTTATCATGTGCAGAACGAAACTAGTAGAAGGAAGTCGGCGTTGCAAGACTTCGGAAGCGACTCAGCAGCGTGCGCGTTCGATGATGTGAAACGTGAGCGCGTGCCGCATGCCTTACGCTTTTATTATGTTTCATTTTATTTGTTTATTTCACGCATAGCTGAAAGACGCGCTTGTAGAACAAAGTCATGCAGCATGCATCATTGTTAAATGGCTCTAGGACTATCCCTCGAAATTAATCATTCTGCGAATTCGAAAGGGTGGAAAAGTGGCAGCATTTGCCACGCAGGTGTGCGCTGACGTCACAGGTGACGTTAAATCGTGATTTTTTCTCGAAACCCATTTTGCTGGACAATTAGAACAACGACTGGCGTACTAAAAAACGCATGAGCTGAATTCTTATTTTAGATATTTCCGTCTATGATAAACGGATGTCTTTTTTGCAATTGCATTGCTTCCAATAACATATTTTAAATATAGTTTTTCTTTTTAGATTGTATTAAAATAACAAATTAATATCAAGCTTTATATAAATAATATTCCAAGCTATTCAACTAAGTTCTTGAAAATTTTTATTTTATCTACATTGAATTCAGTACTGTTGTAAGCTACAAGTTCGTGGATATTCCTTCAAATAATCACAACAAAAACGAACAAAGAAAGATAATTTATTATAGATGAATAATAAAACCAGCAAACGTAACATCAATAAATAACTCAAAGAGAACGCGGATATTAAGCAAATCGTCCTTGGCGCGTTAAAATTAGTTAACCGATATCACTCACAGTGTAAACCCTAAACGCAGTTCAACTAACGCTACGAGCAGAAATATTTTCTATACACATAAATGATTGGCAACCAACTCGTTCTGGCTTTTAAGGCTACATTAATATGACGTTGCAGAAGTTTGTGGAAGCTTCGGGGAAACTTCTAAAGAAATCGTCAAATTGGTGGTAAAATATACGGCTAAGGTCCATAGGTCCAAGGTCACGTTCTAGTTCAGTTATTTTAACAATTTGAACACTGGGTTCAGAACTGAAAGGATCTATAATTCTATACAGGAAATGAACACGTATGTCACGACAATACTTAGAAACACAATGAAATCAAATAAATTAAAATTACAGAAATTAACAATATTGTTACGAATTTTGTATAATGCAAGATAAATGGCCTTAAGAAAGAGAAACTTTGCAGGAAAAATAAGATTACAGGAGCAAGTCAACATTGAGGTAACTGGCAAAATTTGGCAAGAAATCGCCAAACTTAACGACCACTTAGGATATTTTGGTCCAGCGCTTGTAAAACTATAATTGGTACTTTAATTGAATAACAGTAATCGTTCCCTATATGTAACTATAACAGTATCCGGCCCTCATACGTAACTTTATCCGTATATGCCCTCCAGTAATTTCGAGAAATGAAAGGTATTCGAAATTCCTTGGCGACCATAGAAAACTATACCAGACCTGGGAAAGGGCATTCGTTCTCAGGTTTTAGTTCAGAACTGGCTTCAGAGCATTGAAAGATCTCCGTGGGAGCTCCGCTCTTTGCAATGCGTTGTGTTGTGTTTAACATTCTTAGTACTTTGAAGTGGTAACTACTGATTGTGCTCTGTCGTACTGAGAAGAGCTGTACAAGTACGTTTGTGGAAAGTTAACAGAACTGCTAAGTTTTTTTTTTTTTTTTTCCTTCTTTTTAATTGTCTGTTATCAAGCTGTCATTGGTCTAAGTATACCTGAAAAAATTAGAGCTTTTTATTCAAAATTTTCGAAGGTATACGTGAATTTATATATCGGCGCGTTTTCAAATTTGGCATATTTGTTGAAAGCGATAATAACGTCTAATGTGGTTTACGCTCTTTATTAAAATTATTTGAAAGTAGGAACGATGTGAATTTTTTCCCCGCTCCTGCACAATGAAGGGAAAGAAAAATAGGTTGCCATATATTAAGAAGTTCGCCAAGTGAATTATTCTTGAATTTCTCCGTAAATTTCGCACCAAATTTTACAAAATTTTATATTTAGGCATAATTTGAGTCGTAGAATCAAAATATGGAAACAAATTGTTTTTCATAAAAATTCGGATTTTGTGTCAAAATACCTGTATTAGAACAAAGCTATATATAAATCTAATATATATCCAATTCGCGCTTTCGAGAAATGGAAAACGCAATTTGAATTTCGTCAATTGGCCCAGTAGAAAGGGAGATATAGAACTGCCTTCCCCTTTTTTAGCGCAGTGTACATTTGCTGGTGAACTATTCACGTTCGTTTTTAATGGAATGAAAATAATATAAACTCTGACTTCAAAGAAATAAAATTGCGAAACCTTTCAACATGGTATTAGCAACAAATATATAAATGAAATGTCTTTTCGCAGGTCGCCAGTTACGGACCACTGCACTATCTGATACAGTACTTCGAAAATAAAGGCTCTTGTTTCAAACGAATATATCTATCGAATTCAACACCTGACTCGCACAACAACAACGCTACTTAAGCTGAAGGTATGTTTAAAGTAACAGGGAAAACAAGTTATTTTTTAAATAATAATACTTAAGAAAGGAGGAGGAAAATTAAAACACTAATCGAAATGTATATTGGCTGAAGTTCCTCAACTGGTGACAACTTGCAAATGAAATAACAATAGTTAATAAGTGGGAAAGAGAATATTCTCCCACAAAATCCTCATATGTTAAAGCAAAACTATTACTTAAAATAAAAATGTTTCTTACTCTTTCGTTAATAACGTTCTTTAGGTATAATACAACAGTTATCCAAGCAGTTTCAAAGATGCCGGAAAATCTTATGACGACAACAACATAAATCAAAGAATTTCAGTAAGTTTAAAAAAATTTTGGTTATAAACTATTATTTGCAGAGAACAACCTATATTGACCAATGCGTTTATTTAAGAAATTCTTCAAAGAATGCTTTTTTTATTCTCTGCTGATAAATGCAACATTTCTTAAATAGAATAATGATCTAAACTACTACTAAAAACTAAAAATTAAAATTGTTGCGAAAATAGTTTAGCTAAAAAAAGTGTTAGCGATTAAACTATCTCACAATTGAGAAACTATTATTTCTTTGACACAAATCGAATCCAAAAATTTTTATTGATGTCGTGACAGGTTTTTCAAAATTCTTCGACAAAAATCTTTCTTTGCTCCAGCTGCCATTACAGTAGGGAGGAAAAAAGTAAAATTAATATTTATATAGGAATTGTGTCACACTTT